ATCGCCGCCGCCGTCCCCGGGATGCGGGACCCGCGCGCTGGAGCGCCTGGGGCGGACGGAGGCCCGCGCGGGACAATCCTCAGTGCGGACGCGTCTCTGCGCAGAAGCGAGAAAGCCCGGAATGGGATGTGGTTGGGACAAATTTGTTGAAAACGCGATTTGCAGATGTTCTGAGTTGATTAGCAACTGCTTTGACTGTGTAAAGGACCAGAGGACAAAACTGTGACCCGAACTTGTCGAGGCACTTAGTGTAGCCGGTTGGGGCTCCCAGGATGTTAGGTAGAGGTGGGGACGGTGCGGGCTTGGAGGCAGGACAGCGTGCCCTATAGAAATAATGCAAGCCGCATTTGTTAATATTTTATTTAAGTCAACACATCCATACTTTCATCATGTAATAGGTACATAAAAGTAAGTGAGTTTTCCCCGTATAAAAGTTTCAAAACCTGGTGTGTATTTTACACTCCCATCTCAGTTCGGAGCAGCCATATTTCATGTACATGTGACTCGTGCTGGACAGTGCCTTAAAACTTTAACCGCTTAAAAATAAACTTTCTTTCTGCCGTTTCAAATCAGCTAATAAAAAAACCTGAAGGCTCCAGATGTTTCAGAATTTAGGATGTCTCAGATTTTAGGCAGTAATGGAGAGCATACTCTATGTGTTGTTACCTAACGCATTCCATTTGGAACTCAAGAGCAACATCATGTAATCAAACTCATTAATATTTATGCTGAGAAATAAATATACTAAATGGAATAAACACTATAAACAGCCTTACAACAGTTTAGGTCATGTTTTGTTGTCAAATGAGTTTCGGTGTCAATTTTTGTTGTTGTTGTTGGTTTTCAGTACTGTGGATAAGGGGACATGCTATACAAATTCAAATCACAGCTTTGCCACTTATTGTTACCTGATTGATGACCTATGAAGAAAAGATATAATTATTGAATGAGATAATAGTAAATTGTAAAACATAATACAAATATAACTTTGTATTAGCAACTGTTTCTGGGAGTTTTTTTTAGTTTAAGAACTAATGTCAGCTTTAAAAGTATAAGGAGATTTCTGGAGTGTGCAGAAGGCTGAGGTGGGTTTCTGGCTGATTCTAGGAGTGGCAGTATTACCCCTATGGTGAAAGGCTGGTTTCTGCTCTGAGGAATCAGAGCATAGATCTGTGCACGGGGAAGTCCCTAGGCTTGGTTACAACCTGCTCCCAACAGCTTTCTTCTTTCAACCTCGGCGATGAGGGCCAGGATCTTTGACACCCACCCCTTCCCTAAAGAATAACTAGAGAGAGAGAAGAGATTTGGCTCCAGGAGGAAAAAGTACAAGCAGGAAAGAGATCGACCAGTTCCTAGAGATTTATTATAATCTATATGCTACTTCTTTGGATTTTGCTCTACCACATACAACACATACTCGAGAGCCCTGATGGGCAGCCCAAACATAGAGAATATGGCTAGTTGGCAGGAAGTCAGCAGTCCCACCAGTCTACTCCTCTGCTATTCTGCCATCTGATGTAGCAGCCATAGTCAAATGCATAGGGAAAAGAAATAAAGCATGGAGGAAGACACTTAATTAAGAGCTTCGAGGAAAGATCTGAGATCCCAGAGGACCTTGGTGCTCAGCCAAACAGCTGGACAAAGGCCCAGGCCCTAGCTTGTCAGAAGGACTGGAAGACAGCCACAGCTTCCTCCACAGGTCTATCGTGCAGAAGTTAACTACTTGTTGCATCGGCACTGTCAGAATCATCCTAGAAAAAAAGAAAAAGACAAAAGTTACCTGTAGAATATGGTAAGAGTGAACATTTGTGTTCACAAACACTGCTCACTCCCTTCTGCTCTCCAAGTTTTCTTTTGTGATTTTTCTGAGTCACACAACTTCTTGGGAGGCTAATTATGGTAGGATTTAAACTTTGGAAAATAAACCACCAGTACTGAATAAACAGCACGGTGTCATGTATCATTTAGTTTCAGAATTTCAATTAATGCTACTGCTCCTTACAACTGTAAAGATAGTCAACAGGGCCAGAACTGCTCTAGGATGGAGAAGCAGAGGGAGATATGGAAGTGAAGGCGGTCTTGCTGGGTTTGGTGTTTTTTGTTTTTTCGTTTTCTTATAAGCAAAAGTTTATTTAGAAAGCCACAGCGGTAGAAGTGAGCCATAGAAGAAATAGGTTTAAGAAAAAAGTTACAGAGGCCAAGAAGGGCCCTTGAAGCTTAGGAGAAAGAAAGGTAAGGTAACATGCCTGGGGAGAAGAAGGGGATGAGAAAGGTATGGGTGTGCTCCCAAGAAGGAGAGCACTTACTGGGGTTTTCTTTTTTTAAAAAATATTTTTATGATTTCAGAGAGGAAGGGAGAGGAAGAGAGAGATAGAAACATCAATGATGAGAGGGTATCATTGATTGGCTGCCTCCTGCAGGTTGGACCAAGCCCACAACCCAGGCATGTGCCCTTGACCGGAATCGAACCTGGGACCCTTCAGTCCGCAGGCTGACGCTGTATCCACCGAGCCAAACCGGCTAGGGCTTACTGGGGTTTTCTTAAGCCTGGAGAAGAACATTCACTCTTCTTTGTCAAATTCAAATTTGGCTAAAAAAAAAATAATCAAATTTGGCTAACATGCACTGAGAACTGCAATGTGCTAGGGACTGTGACAGGAGTTTTCTAGTATTGTACCTTATTTTTAAGAGCAAAACGGAAACTGAAGGGTTGAGGGGCAGGCTTTACTTACATCCAGGTCGTCCATGGCAGGCGGAGGTCTCTTAGTGCTGACCTTCTGCAAAAGCTAGAGGGAAAAGAAAAGGAGTCACAAGAGAGAAGAGCAGCCGCATACTAATGGGCCATAGGAGAATGGTCCGGCCAGACAACTGCCCTATGTTTAAAGCCCCTGACACATCAGTGGAATGAATTAGAGAAAAGTACATTGATCCCCTTTTTAGTAAGAAATTTAAAAACACACAGAGCACTCTCCTTACTAATCCAGGTCAGGGTCTGCCAGTGTTTTTGCAACTTGAAATAACTAGTACTGAAATTCTGAAACCAAATAATTCATTGGGAAATAGTGATTTTTTTTTTCTAATCCTCACCTGAGCATATTTTTTCCATCACTTTTCAGAGAAAGGAGGAGGAAGGGAGGGAGAAATCGACTGGTTGCCCCCGCATGCACTCGCCGCAACCACAATTGCCCCAACCTGCAACCCAGGAATCAAACCCTCGACCCTTCATGCTTGGACCAATGCTCTGACCGTTTAGAAACACTCACCAGGGTAAAAATAGTGATTTTTAAAATTTGAATTTTATACTGCTTAGTTTGAGCTTCCCATGAGGTTATCTAGTTCAAGAAAACACAAACACACACACACACACACACACACACAAATTACAGAAAAGTAGGAAAAGGTCCTACCAAACTTCTTCAGAGTACAGGCTCTACTCTATGAATAGAATATTCATTTTTCCCATCCCTACTAAACACTGCACAAAATACATAAAGAATATCAGCACCAATCAGCGGCCGGCCTAAGGAGCTCATCCATCTCTGCTTAGCCCTGATGACAATTCTCCAGACAGAGACTCAGAGAATGATCAAGATGAGCAGAAAATGACATTACCTCTGCGTAATGTTCCACCTGAGCCAGCTCCACCTCTTCATCCCCTTCCCAGTCTCTCCAGTTATCAAAGTCCACAGACAACCACACTGGCTGAAAGAGGAAGCACCGAGAGTCACAGGCCAAGAGGGCAGCAGAAGTGCATAGAAAAGTGCATGCTTGGGGAAGGTCAATGGGAGCAGTTTTTCCCAACGGCCCCCTTTAACTAACTCCGTCTCCAAGCAGCCTCGTCATCCATAAAGACTTACCAAGAGCCCATTAAACACAATGTTTAGGGTATGGAAAAGCATAGAAATTCTGCCCTCCAGGAGCAGATTGACTGGGAAGATCACACATCTGGAAATATGACTGTGTCACAAAGTATAGAATCAACCAAGAAAGACAGGGACAACCCTTCAAGGCCCATGTCCCAAGTTCCCACACTTAGAGAAAAAAGTTATTTACTAATTCATTTAGCAGATATTTATTGAACAGAGACTGTGGTTCAGACTCTGAGATTGGCACTGGGATTATAGAAATGTTTAATACATAGTCCCAGCCATCAAGAAGCAAGTGAGGCCCAGCTGGTGTGGCTCAGTGGTTGAGCATCAACCTATGAACCAGGAGGTCATGGTTCGATCCCTGCTCAGGGCACATGCCTGGGTTGCAGGCTCGGTCCCCAGTAGGGGGCAGCCAATCAATGATTCTCTCATCATTGATGTTTTTATCTCCTCTCCCTCTCCTTTCCTCTAAAGTCAATAAAAAAATTAAAAAGGGGAAAAAAGCTCCAATTCTAGGCAGTTGGGAATTTTAGACCAGTGTGGCCAAAATCACCATTTTTTGAGAGAAGCTAATAATCTGGATTTGTGGGTGAATTCACCATATTTTTATACGTCAGCAACTGATCAAAACTTCTAAATATCGGTAGGCAATGGAAATAATTTTTAACACTGTGAAGACTGCTCAAATAAATTTGAGAGCCAGATCCGACCAGCAAGTGGCCAAATTGCAACCTTTAGGAGAAAGAAGCCACTGGAGGGTCTTAAGTAGGGGAGTGACAAGGTCAAATGTGTTTTATTTATTTTTTTAATATGTCTTTATTGATTTGAGGGAGAGGGGGAGGGAGAAAGAGAGAGAGAGAGAGAGAGAGAGGAGGAAACATTGATTGTTTGCCTCCTGCATGCCCCCTATGGGGGATCAAGCCAGAAACCTGAGCATATGCCCTGACAGGAAATCGAACCTGCCACCTTTTGGTGCATAGGACAACATTCACACTCACCAGGGCTCAAATATATGTTTCAGACAGATCATAATGGGAGGGATGCTTTAGACAGATTGGGGGTGGGGCTGAAAATACACAACAAACCTCACCCAGTGATGGATGAAGCCTGAATTAGGTAGATATGAAATAATGGATTCAATCCTATCCAGGTAGTCAAATAGGCAGGATGTGGTGAGTGACTGACTGTTGGTGGGGAAGGAGGCAAGGGTGATTCCCAGAGCCAATCTGGTACATAGACAGAGCACACAGGAGAAAGAGCAGGCCACTCTACCTTGATATCCTCCTTGGTGAGCCGAGGCCAGGCCACTTTCTCCTTCCATTTCCTCACAAAGCACCTAATGGAGCGGTCAGAGCGCTTATCCTGGGAGTCCTGCCGCACAGAGAGCCTCATGCTTAAGAGTCTTAAGAGAATGAATCTCCCATTCCCCAGGCAGCCTTCCCACCCAAACCTGACCGTCCCACCCCATCCTCACCTTGGAGTTCACCTTGGCGTAGAACTCAATCTCATTGTACAACTCCACTCCATCCCCATTCTTGCAGCTGAGGAGACAGCGCAGATGACCAGATGTGGGCGGCTGAGTGTGGGGGAATTAAGAGAAGGGAAAGGTTTCCAGGAAGCCAGACTCAACCAATGGGAGCCCATTACCTGAACACAATGCGGTGGTCTTCTAAGAGCACGTGGACATCGGTGCTGTCCTCAACACAAAACTCCATGAACACGTACTTGGGCCTGTCATACCACAGGGTCCGGGCATGCTGCCTGAAGAGGAGTTGAGGTGGGGCCTCACAGGGGTGGGAGCGGGAAGACTGAGGGCATTTGGGAAAGGTGGGAGAAGGGGGAAATACAGGGATATTTTATGCTACCGCCCTGTCAACACGGAGCTACAAGAGACAGGAGGAGGTGGGATGGGAGTGATGGAAATGGGTGAGAGTGGCGAGGGTGAATCTGGGGAGAATCAAAAGTGTGAGAGTGAAAGGTAAAGAGTTATGGAGGCCATGGAGATGGCACTGCCCCTCACCACCCCAAAGTTACAGAGACCCGGGGCCCGGGGTTCCCATGGGACCTCGCAGAACCTGGAGCGCCCAGAACATGTGGGACAAGAAATCTAAAGAGGAAAGGGTGGCGGGAAACACTCACCGTGCCATGGCGGCCCCCGCAGCCCAGTGGCGTTGGGAGTCGAGTCCGGGGTCACTATCTTTAGATCCTGGTGAGTGACGCCCCGGCAGCTGCCTCTCCTTATATGGTCGGCGGAAGGTTGCAGAGGCAGGAGAGACGCGACCTTACCAGGGAGCCGCACTCCGGGGACGGTGGGAAAGCCTGGCCCCTGCAGCCTCTGCAGCCCTGCACGCCTCCAGAAAAGCACACGTTTAGGCAGAGACGACCCAGCCTCCGGGACCAGGGCAAGGGCTACACGACAGTAGATACACACACGGAGTGATTCGTCCGCGGCTCCATGCACCTGCTCCTCCGACGCTTAGTACATTCGGTGTTAGATTCACAAAAGGCGCTCAAATAAAAAAAAAAATTATTGGTCCGAACGGAATCCCCGGGGAAGGCCCGCCCCCCGCGACCAACTCCGTGACGTCTAAGCCCCGCCCTCCAGCCCGCCCCTCCGCGTACCC